ATTGGCGCTTTTCTGCGTAAACCCGAAAACCCTAAAACCCTAAAACCCTAAACCCTAAACCCTAAACCCTAACCCTCAATCCCACTCCGCAACCCTCAATCCAACAAGTGGCGGTTCATAGCAAACCACATAAAGGGATATCGGCCTTGAATGCATTGGTTGTTGGGTTTCGTGGTAGGGTGTGTCAGTGTATGGAGGTCTATGGGTTGAAATAACAAGAAGAGAAAGGGTTTAGGGTTTGGGGTTTAGGGTTTAAAACAACCAGCCTGTGGACTTTCAGGTGTGTGTGTGTGCTCTGCAGACGGAGTTTCGTTTGTGCTGGGACGACACGTAGCCAAACGGGGGCCCCCAATTCTTTCAATTTTGTTGATGATGTTTTTCGGCCTTCTCTCATTCTTGCCTCTCGTTCTTATCCTATCACCATTTCAGATGAGCTTCTTTAGGGAGCTCGAGCCCACTCAGTGGGCTGCACTGTCAGGTAAACAAACCCCTTTCCTTATAGGCGCAAACGCCATCCACCTGCTGTTGCTTTTGGCTGCTGCTGCCTCTGGCTGCTGCTCCTTCTCGCAGCTGCTGCTTCTCGCTGCTTCTGCTTCTTGCTGCTGTTGTTTGTTGCAAGGAGTGCACAGCAGCCTGCTGGTTCGCAATTGGTACCCTGCATTAGGGGCCTCTCCCTCTCCCGTACTGAGTTCCCAGGCGTATCGGGGTAGCACAGCATAAGGTGTATTGCATCATTTTTATATTATGCTTTAGATGTTCTGAAACTTGAATCCTTACACCGTAAACCCTCGTGGTTTGCTTGGCTGGGCTTGGCTGGGTTTCTGCAGTGTTGCCCTGTCTGGGCTTGGGGGCACAGCTCTGCCTCATCACTGCGCTGGAAACTGAATCTGCTGCGACGATTGCTATTGTTCAGAACCTTGATGCTGTTTTCAGTTACACCTTTCAGGTGACTACAACATCCGAAACCCTAAACCCTAAACCCTAAACCCTAGATGCACATAATACACGTTGCCAAGGTTTCCTTCATCCAGGCCGTCAGCAACAGCCAGACCCTTTATTGAAATGAGTAAAATGAATAAATTAATGAATTGCGTGCTTTACTGGTGGAATATACAGTTCGTAAACCCTAAACCCTAAACCCTAAACCCTAGTTCGTCATACATTGACTAAGTAAATGAA